TATATTATGATATTTTTACGTTAAATTCCAGAGTCTTTAATTGATTATTTGGTTTTGTATGATTATTATGATTTCATTTGTTTTAATTATTTGATCATTAAATTATTATATTGGTGATTTCTATTTCATTCAAAAGAAGTAATATAATTAGTGCATGTAGTAACAATCATTGCAAAGTCTGATAAAGAATACGAATGAATGACTTAGCACTATGACTTGCATGTGCTTATAAATGTTCTCGTGATGCATTTTCATATATTCACATCATTCATAAAAATATAGTAGGATCATATGTGGACTAGATTTAATTCTAATCGAGAGTCTATTACACAAAATAGGAACATTGATCATTAACTAAATAAGTATTTTCAAAGTCTTGATTGATATTAAAACGAAAGAATGTTGGGGCATTCGAGGTCTTAGTGATTTTGTTTATAAAGATCGAAGAATATTTTCGATCACCACTTCTTCAGCACACATTTTCATCCATTGATAATCACTAATACTCATGAAGAGCAATCTGAAAATATTTCAATTTCTTTCCTGGATAGAGAGCTTCATATTCTCCTCTCAAAGATTGAAGACGAACTTTTTGACTTTGTTCGCCCCCTTGTACGTATTTTGAAGAATCTCCCATGCTTTCTTTTAAGTGGTTGATACCTTTTGAAAATTCGTATCATCAAGAGCTTTATGAATCTTATGAGAGTTTTTTTTATCATTCCTCTTAGTGGTTTGTTGCAAGTCTCTTTGTACTTGAGACATGTTTTCATTTTGTATTTGCTAGAAATTGTTTTCGCATCTAGAAACATTTGTTGTTTTTTTGTATGTTAGAACAATCAAAAGTGGATTTTTATTATTTTTCTTGAATCTTGCAAATTATAAAATTAATTTTCATCTCTAAAAATCTTTTCAAAAGAAAAATTAATTTTTGATCGAAAAATTGGATTGGGAGATAGCCGACGAAACTGAAACCATCAGGGCCGGTAAGGCGATGCGGGACTACGTGGCTTCATGGCGAGAGCGGTACCAGTCCCGCAAGAGTGTATGCAGTATCGACCATCTCTGATGAGGTAAAATCAGCATGTGCAGGGGCAATGGTTGTCGTTGCACATTGCAGTGGTGACCATCACCACGATGACTGTCGTCATTGCAGGTAATGCAATGCATGACGCTGCTGCTCCCATCATGTCGAGCACCATTGCTATTTGACAGTGACGGTACACCACGATTTTATCTACAAAACGGTGCTGGCCGTCGGTGCCACAATTAGTTGCAATTTTTTTAATTCTTTCATTAATATGAGTGTATGTGTGTGTGAGAGAGTTAAAATTCATAAAAATCACGGCCATTATTCAGAAAAGAATAATTTGAAAAATTCACATTTTTATATATTATATAGTGTATAAATAATATTATAGACCTAAATATACAAGTACTTGAATAAAACCATAAATGCACAAGAAGAGTATAAATAACACACACCACAAACAACATTACAAAATTTTGAAAATTATTAAATACGATCTTTGGAATTTGCATTTTGAGAAAAGTTCTCTAGCCATGTCCTTCGAAACTGATATCTTATTTTGTAAATCCTAATCCTAAAGGGACAAATAGGGAGAAGAGAGGAAAAAATTTCAATTTCAAGAACATCAATAATCAAACTACAAATTCGATCTATGTCCTATTTATAACGTAAAGAAATAAAGTCTAAATGAACTTCAAGTAAGCGGCGGTTCTTTGATGATTGTGATTTTGCACCTATCAGAGCCACCATAAGTGGACATTTGGGAGTTCTTTTTTATGTTTTAGATACTTAATTATATATGTTTTATGATTATTTTACAAGAAATCCGGTATTGAATGAGAAAGGATAAAAATAAGAGTTTTAATTTAAAAG